TCCAGATTTACACTGCTGAGGTATTTTGAGCATAACTCTTGCTACAAGTGTCCGATTAACCCCATTCTTATCTCGGACAAGAAGATGGTCAAATTTGGATCCAAAGTTCATTATGAGTTGCTGCAGTTTTAATTAATTAATTGAGTATAAGTTTATACTTGGGAACCTAATGTCTGTGAGATCTAAATTCATTATTTATGTCTTGTTGCCTCTCTTTTTTTGTCAGACTTGTAGAGCCTATATAAGAACTAGTTGACTGAACTATATTACAAATTGACACCAAAGAGGAAGGAAGATGTTGAGTGGATGCTTGAGGAAAAACAATTCTTAAGAAACAATAAAGTCCATCTTTGCCGAGTGTTCATTCTAGAAGAACTTTATAAGACCTCTATGATTTGACAAAAACATTTAGTGGGTGTAATTCAAAAAATATATCATTATCACGAGCAAATGCACTGATACGTGATAAATTCTTCATAATTGAAGGAACATGAAGAATATTTTTGAGTGACAATTCAATTTTGGTATCTACAGTTGACAAAATTTTTTGAACAACTAATAGCACGAATGGGCAAACCTTGACCATTTCCGATAAGAACTTGATATATTCCAGACAATTGTGAACTTTGTAACAGGTTCATTGGATTTCGTATGACATGGTGACTTACTCCAGAATCAAGGTACCATTCTAAAACAGGTGGAGTAGCAGATGTGGGAAAAAGTCCAGGTTGTTGTGCTGCAACCATTGCTTGTGGAATAGGTTCCTCCACTGGTTGGCGTACAAACTGATTTGCCCGCTTATTCTATTGAGGTTGTTGTTGTTGTTGATGAGCTTTAAAAAATCGAGTCATTGCATTATGTGCATTTTCTATGGGATGTGGTAGTGTTGGAACAAAATTCTCATCAAATCTATACCAACAAGAATGAACATCGTGTCCAAACTTATAGCACAATTGGATATACATATATGCATGTGTTCCACAACTTCTTCCGTTATTAAGACATGCTCCAGATCTATCATGACCTCTGTTTGCATTATTGGAAAGACCTGGAATATGAGAATCAAAAGTCTGGTTCATGCTTTGTTCGTCGTTTGAAGAAACAAAGGCAAACAGAGTATTTTGTTCAGTATGTTTTTATGTCTGAGCAACGTTTACAAAGACTATCAATTATCAAACTTTCACTCTGCTTCAATAACAGTTATTCATAACTCGTAAGCCATAAGATCTATAGCGAGATCAGCTAGACTACATGCCTTTTCATGACTATGTATATTTAGAACAAAGGAATAATACTCTGAAGGCAAACCTTCAAGAATATACTCAATGTGATCTTCTTCGGAGATAGGACTTTGAATTACTTTCAATGAATTACATAGGTTTTTATTCGAGAAAGGTATTTAGAGATTGATTTTGTACCTTTCTTGATTAAACGAAACTCAAACCTGAGTTGTATCACTTGAGATTTCATTTTTCCATGAAACATCTTGTGAATTTGGTCCCAAGCCTCATGCAAGTGTTTAACTCCTGAGATCTCATTCACCACCGATTCATAGAGAGTTAAAAGCAACCAAGTTAACAACATTTGATCTTGCATAAGCTATTACAAAAATGCAGGATTTACATAATCACTATTATAATCTTCTTCTATCAAGAACTTCAGCAGAATTTTATGATTATTAAAAACTTGTGAAGCTGATGTGACATGGTGATAGGTTCAACAATTTGATTCCAAAGAAGTAGTTATCTTCAGTAAGTTTAACTGAGATCTGATAGTTGAAGAGCGTTGGTGTTTTGTTCTCCATTGTTCCACTTTGAAAACTTCAATCAACACCTCTCTGATTGTTGTTACTATGATTTTCGATTAAAGAAGATGTAGCGAAAGCCATTGATGGATGAGGAAATGGATAGGCCCTCAAGATGAGAGCTCTGATACCATATCAGAGTTTAAGGAGAGAGATAAGATGAAAAACCCATTCTCTTGATGTGTGAAAATATTCTAACAAAAGTGATACAAGAAGACTCTATTTATAGAGCTTAAGACCGACTCAGATCTAAGACAAATATTCTAACAGACTAACCAACTACAAACAGAAAAGGGAAACTAACTAATTACAAACATAAAGGAGAATGCATTCTATACAACCAGAAATATAATTGTCAAGATACATCAATGACTAAAATACACGAAAGCTAAGCTAAAGCTTACAATATACTCAAATAATATGTAAAAGTAGTAGCTCAATTAAAAAATTTGAGGTTGTCATATGCTTGAGCTACCTTCGTGAAAAAAATAATAAATTAAACATAATTAATGATAATAAAATTAAAAACTTTATTTTATTAACAAGAAATGTATATAAGTAGTTGTGTTTGAATTTAACTGAAATTGACATACTCATGAGCTTAAATTATAAATTAACAAAAATATAAGAGTTCACAATATCAAAGAATTTAATTGAAAATAAAATACTCATATTCACGAGTTCAATTAAAATTAGAAAACTCGTATAAAGAAAAAGAAAGGGTAAAATCTCTCTTAAATCCCTTTATATTTTTCATCCGAGGCAACAAGTTTTGTTTATAAAAAAAAAGTAGTTCATATTCACAATTGATTTGTAGCAGTGCTATTTTATTCTGAATATTTTTATATCCCTATTTACATTTTTTGCTTTCCTTCCTCGTAAACTTGAGTTATAATTTTGAAAATAAGAACTTAAACAAAGGTCATTATGACAAAATTAAAAATTTGAATTTAATAAGAAATAAATAAGATAGATATGCCCGAAAAATTAGGACATTTAAAGTTGAATTCATAACTTGAATTTTAAAATCACAAAAAAATAAAGTTGAATAGTTTTATTAAAAGGATTCTGATAATATATATACAGGATTAGATTGAGACAATGATATTTATATTCCCCAACTATATATTATGTAAAACAAAAGAGCTCACAACATTCGGAGCTTGCCGTGGTGCATCCAAGTCCTCAAGGTGCATCGAGGCTAGCCGTGGTGCACCCAGGGCCTGTTGAGATGCACCCAGGCCATCAAGTTGCATCGGGACTAGTCGTGGTGCATCTTGGATTAACCGTGGCACATTCGGGGCCTGTCAAGGTGCACCCAAGCCCTCAAGGTGCACCCGGGACTAGTCGTGGTGCACCCGGGGCTACCCGCGCTAGCCGAGGTGCACCAGGCCCTGAAGGTGCATCGGGGCTAGACGTGGTACACCAGTAGTCAACCGAGGTGCATCGAGGCTAGTCGTGGTGCACCTGAGATAAATTTTTGTCAAATGAGTTAGTGTAAGCATTAATATTATGTGATGCCATTCACATAAATTGTATCTTTGACATGCTATTATTTGGTATATTTAGGGCCTGCTTGAATGATTTTCTTTTCTTTTCAAAAGCTATTTTTTTAAAGAAAAAAAAGTGCTTATAAAAGTTTATTTGAACATTGCTTTAAAAAAAATATAAGTTACAAAAAAAAAATAATAACCTACTTTTTTAAAAGCTAAAAATTTTAACTTCTAAAAAAATTAAATATTTAAAAAAAAATCTAAATAAAACTTTTATAAAAATGCTTCTAAAATAAGCCAGACATAAAAATTATTTTTTAAAAAGGCCAAACAAACAAACTCTTAATGTACATTGGCCATCACAAAGCAAATTGCAAAGTGATGTTATTTAATCTTGTTAAAAATGTGTCGTATGTATGATTTTATGTTGTATATTATTTTCTTTTTATTAATGTTGTATACTATTTTGCTTACGTATCCCAAATATAATTCTTATCCACAATTACTTGTTTTGCTTCTTTCGTAAAGATATTTTTAACATATTTATGCCTTATTGAAAAGTTTTGTATACCTTTATACTTGATTCCACTCAAGAGACAACATGGAACAGATAATAATAAATAAGAAAAGTATACGAGTTTTAACTTTTACATTAGATCAAATAATATTTAATACCGCTCTTTTTTTTTGTCATGTTGCAAGAATTTATGTAATTATTTTTTTATACTAAAGGTAGTAAATAGTTAAAATATTAAAGTTATTTTTTTCTCTTTAATTTAAATATTATAATTATGTATTATTCTTAATACTTAAGTTAAAAAATAATTGCAGCTTTTTCCATTTAATAATTATTCATGAAATGCTAAACAAAATTAAGATAAGTGATAATAAAAGTATATAAATGTGGATTACCATAAAAAAAGAGTATATAAATGTTGGGTTTTGAGTCTGGCAAAACAGACCGGCTCGGCAGACCAACTCATCTGCTAAACGGGGTGAGGTGGGCTAATTTTTTTAACTCATCTCAAAAACGGAGCAGGACGGGCTCATTTTTTGACAGACACAGGCTGGTCAATGTAAAATAGGCTCGGTCTGTCAGGTCAACTTGCCCAACCCGCCAACGGGGCAGGGCAGAGCGTGTCGAGTTTTTCAGCCCACTTTCAAAAGCGGGACGAGGCGTGCAGGCTCGTCTTTTGGAGGGTTGATGATGGCGGAGCGGGACAGACTCTCTTATTTTTTGACAAGTTGATGACGGGATCGGGCGGAGCAGGCCACCCACTTTGCCACCTCTACTCTCACGTAATTCAGAAAAATATGATGGGACCCACCATATTTTTTAAAAAAAATTAAACAGTTTTTTTTTTAAATCAGTAGGAGGGAGAATATTTTCTCCATTCTCCGATAAATGATATATACTGTTATCGAAAAACTTCAAATAAATTTAGAATTTGAGCAGATAACCCACTGGATTTTCCAAGCACTTTGTAACATAGTGATTTGGGTATTAAGTGATTCTTTTTTTTTCAGCTTAAGAAAAGAAAAAAGTCAAAATCATATTTGGGCCGGTTCATATTTCATAAGCCCTGTGTCTATGTTTGGGCCAAGGTGCATCCACGATAGGGCCCAGTAACCCATTAACCTCTCGAAAGCATGAAGGAAAACCCGTTAACCTTCTCGCTATACGTAAGTGTTGATACTCGCCTTGGGAATTGAGATAACACACACTGTTTCCTTTCATCACTCTTCTTGACTCTTTCTAGGGTTTCACACTTTCGAACGAGTCTGCGAATTTCAGTTCCCTTCTCTTCAATCGGTGTGTGGAAAATGAAATTTTTTCCCCTAATTTTGTTGTTGTTGTTCTTCTTATGGTAAATGAATCGTTCGATTGTTCTTGGTTTCAGGATTGGTCGCTTTCTTTACATGTGAAGGAGGAACATGTATTCTTCGAGGGGGAGCGGCGCTTACGGCCAATCATATGCGGGTCAATCAGCGTATGGCCAGAACGTAAGTGTTTCCTTTCTCGAAGGATTTCCAAGGCTTTTTCGATGGCTTTTCAATCTCTTATATTCCACTATTTGCATTTTCTCCCAAGAAAATGAGATTTTTTTTATGTGTTTCACAAATACACGTGTGATTTTTGAGCATGGGATTTCATAGATTGGTATATTGAGGTGTTCATTTGGATTTTTGTTGTTGCAGTTGGGTGCTAATTATTCTGGGGGTTCCGTTGGAGGACATGATGTGGGCCAGCATTCCGTTGCTTCTAGGCATTCGACAATATTAGGTGGTTCACAGGAAGTTGATGTTGGTGGGTATAGGGCTCATACTTCCACTGCTCCACAGTATGGGGGGCAGTATAGTTCTGTTTATGGGTCAGCTGCTTTGAGCAGTGCACAGCAGGTCAGTGTGTTATGTGTTCTTGGTGAACGTTTTATCCAAAATATTAAAAGGTCTTATTGATAAACAAGAAATTTGCTAGTATTTTACAGTCAAATTGATTGGGTTTAAGTTCTTGTGTTCATGGATTAGCCTCGTGTTTATCGTGTATCGTGAGAAATGGTGGAGAACTTACAACTGAACCATCGGTTATGTGAAGCATCTGTCGTACGTATAGGGATTTAGGTTTTCAATTATTGTGGAAGGATTATAAAACTAATGTCAACACAAGGAAAACTTGTTCCATTGTTAGGGAATATGATTAATGCACTATTAATTTCCCTTTCAAGGTATTGAATCCAGGGAGAGGTAACTACAATTATGTTGAAAAGTGTAAGCACTGCTTTACTTAACAGTTAACACTAACTCTGTTTATGTTTTAACTTCATTTTCAAATTTTTCTTTTAAGCTGTCTTCTTGTCCTTGATGCTCCATATGAAAGCCTTCTCATTTTATATATTTATTTTCTCTTTATAGTGCTTTATGTGGAGAATCAATGAATTTTTTCCTTTATATAGGTTCCTTCCTTGAGTACTAAGGGAGCTGCATCATCAACTTTAGATGGTCGTGGAGGTTATTCTTTAGGTGTTTCGGATTCACCTAAATTTGCTTCTGGAGACTATGTCTCATCCTCAAGCCATGGATATGGTCACAAATCTGATCAGTTATATGGTGACAAGGGTGGCTTGGATTATTCTGGAATAGATAGGCGGCAACGGCAGAGTGGTTACCTTGGTAGGGACTTGCCAAGCGATCCAACTGGACGATATGCTACTGATCCTGTTGGATATGGTCATCAGCATCAGGTGCATGCTTACTCCTAGAAAAGTTTGTAGTTGATTCCTTTGTTTCTCCGAGTATATATTTACAAAACATTAGAAAGAAGTTACCACTCCTTCCTGCTTTATTTTTTTATTTTTTTGGTAGATTGTAATCATATTGCATTTGTTTTTGTTCAGCAAGCAGAAATATATGATCGCATTGATCAGGCAGCTTTGCTTCGACAAGAGCAATTGCTGAAATCTCAGTCTCTACAAGCTGCCTCACTTGATGGGGGTGCTAGGTATTTTATTTTATTTTATTTTGGAATAATGTGCATTATATGTTTGTTCAATGCTGCTAATATCAATCCAAATCTACTTTTGGTCACTTAAAAATAATATTTTTTGCTATTAATGAATATAGTACATCTGTCCATTCTGTTGGTTATACACACAAAAGCAGTTAGGTTGTCTTTTGAATTCCTGATGAAACTGGGCAGAAGCTGATGGCATTGCCTCTCTATGTTAAATGGTAATAATATTTCTCCCTACACTAAGTAGCAAAACGTTTGTGGCAGACAAGCTGATTATCTTGCAGCAAGAGCTGCTGCTAGTCGTCACCCCACCCAAGATCTTATGTCTTACGGAGGAAGGATGGATTCTGATCCCCATGCTTCATCAATGTTAAGTGCTCCTTCATATAGTGGACAACATGCACCATCAATATTAGGAGCAGCTCCAAGGAGAAATGTGGATGATCTACTGTATTCCCAGAATGCTTCAAATCCTGGTTATGGAGTGAGCCTGCCTCCGGGCAGGGACTATGCTACTGGAAAAGGGCTTCATGGAAATGCTACGGAGTTGGATTACCCAGGAAATGTGCTGCCACATAGTGGGCATAATGATCACAAGGATGACCGGGCTAGCTATCTGCGAGAATTTGAGCTAAGAGAAGAAGAGCGTCGCCGGGAGCGCTTGCGAGAGAGAGAGAGGGACAGAGAAAGGGAGAAAGAACGGGAACGATTGCGTGAACGGGAACGCGAACGAGAGAAGGAACGCGAAAGGGAGCGCATTTTGGAGCGGCGGGAGAAGGAGCGGGAACGAGAGCGCAAACGTGCACTTGAAACTCGGCATGAACGAACTCCAGTGAGATCGTCCAAGGATCCCCGTGGTACTTCAAAGGATCCCCGTGGGTCTTCTTTGACAAAGGAGGGGAGATCTTCACGACGGGACTCCCCACATCATGGTGCTTTACATAGGTGGATCTTAATGATTTTTCTATTTCTCCGTCCTGCTCTGGTTCTAAATATCTAGCTGCTTGTATATCTTGCAGCCTTTTGTCACTAACTAAATGTTCTGTTATGCTGAAGGAAACATTCACCTGTTAAAGAAAAACGGAGAGATTATATCTGCAAGGTAAAAGGAAATAAGACTTAGTTGCTCCACATTATGAGAATATTCCTCACCAGGAGCTAGTTGTGCTGCTGTTTTTCCTTTGGAGATCTGTGGATGATGGCTTGATAGACTTTGTATTTCCTGTAAAAGCTAACAGTTTTTACTCTTTATACTTTTTTCAGTTTTCTTTATCTTGGACTGTCAGTTTACTGTGTAATTCACTCTGGTCTCAACTTGGTCACATGATTTGGTTCAATGATGATGGGACATTTCAGTTGTCTTCTGTAACTTTTTTTCTTTGTAGTCCTTGCTGTGCATCCTCAGAGAACTGATTTTCTTTTGGGTCATAATTACTATTTTTTCTGTTCCTTTCCTCCACATTTCTTTGGTCTCTTTCGTTGTCCTTTACACTTTATACTTTTCTTGCTTTCCTTTTATCTTGGACTGTAAGTTTACTGTGCAATTCACTCTGGTCTCAACTTGGTCACATGATTAGATTCAATGATGATGAGACATTTCAGTTGTCTTCTTTTCCTTTTGTCTTTGTAGTACTTGTTGTTCACCCTCAGAGTACTGATTTTCTTTTGGGTCATAATTATTATCTTTTCTTGTTTCTTTCCTCCAGATTTCCAAGCTTTCTTCTCAGTTCTTCTTTCTGTCTGTTCCTTGCTTCCTTTTTGTTCCTTATATTGTCAGCTTTGGTTTTGATTTTGGGATGTCTTAGTAGACAACTCAAACCTAGAAGAAAAAAGTATATAGGTTCTCAAGAATATCCCTATTCCTATTGATGCTACACTCAGTCTAAAGCTCTAGGAATGAATGTGAATCGATTTCTTGTAAATGAGACCTGATTTATGGTTTCATGCTGTTTGTGTATGATGTATTATTTCATGATTTCCCAAATCAAATCAATTGAATTTAATATTTGTAAAACTGCATGAACAGGTTTACCCATCCTGTTTGGTGGATATCGAGAGGGATTACCTCTTAATAGATAAACGATACCCCAGACTTTTTGTTTCTCCTGAATTCTCCAAGGTATATTCATACTATATAATTTGCTTCTTTGATACTGAGAGCTTGATATTGATTTGACATTATTTTACATAAATTCTTTAGGCTGTTGTGAAGTGGCCAAAGGAAAACCTTAAACTATCTATCCATACTCCTATCAGGTTCCTCTCTTTTCATCTGTGTCTGATAAATCATATGATTCCAAAATAGTATCTGATGCTTCTAAAGGTGTATTATTTCTGAGACTTTTTATTTTCTCTGTTTTTCTACCTTATTCACGTAAGTTTGAGAAATTATGCGTTTGATACTTTTATTTGTTTCTCTTTTTATGTAGTTTAACTATCTTGAAATTTTCTTGGTAATATTTAATTGGTGTTGATGATTTGGAGAGAACAAATATTTTGGTAGGATGTCTTTCAAGAATAATTTGAATGCCTACATAATTTGCGTGATATTAGGTCTTAAAAAAGGAATTTGTTTTCCTGACAGTTGCAAAATGCTCTAGATTTAAATTGATTTTTGTTAAACTTTTTTTTCCCTTTTAAAGTTTGTCAGTAGCCGATTCTGCTTTCCCTGCCTTATGGTTGTCATGACTTGTAGCATTTGAGAAATAAGAAGTAAATTAAACATGATTTTGAGCAGTTTTGAGCATGATTTTGTTGAAGAAGAAAGTGCCATTGAGCCTAGAGATTCATCCAGCAAGCTTTCGATGGGACAACCTCTAAGTTCAGAAAAAGGAAGTACAGTTTGGAATGCTAAAGTAAGTTCAATATCAAAGTTTGTCATCTATTTATTGTCGCTTTGGTATTTTCCGGCCATATAATTACTTTTCATTATTTGTGTACTTCATTTTAGAGCAGTTGTTTAATATCAATAATAGGTTTTTGCATCCTGAATATTGTTTTTTGTTGCCAACTAAGAAGATCTAAAGTTCTGCTTAGAATTTGGGAAAGGTGATCAATTTCAGCTCTGCACAATTTCTTTAAAGATGTTGGATTATAAGTTGGGGTTGCCTTCTTGTAGTGCCCAGTCTCTGTAACCTTCTTGTGTCCTGACCATTTAATGCATGTAAAGTTGGGCAATGAATACTATAATTTAGAGAGAAGTTAGGATAATGAGATGATGTCTATAGGATATTTTGTTTAAACATATATATGTTCTAATTGCACTTAAATGGATTTAATAATCTTGCCCCAAAGTTTTTATTTTTTATTAACCCATGCTGTTGACACACTTGTGAGCTTATGTTTTGAAATTGAAACATCCCTATTGATGTTCACTTAGCTATATAACTTGCGTACATTATAACCAAGTTGGATTGCATAATTTATAGGTAGTCTGTAAGTTGTGTTTGTCTTTTAATTTTTATATTGGAGATTAATCTTTCCGAATCAATATTAATTGGTGTTTGCACTGTTTGATAATTTATTTTTTCTCTGTTTAGATAATTTTGATGAGTGGACTTAGTAGGACTGCATTGGAGGAGCTGTCATCGGATAAAAGTTTTGATGATCGCATTCCTCATATTTGCAATTTCCTGAGGTTTGCGGTCCTTAAGAAGGACCATTCTTTCATGGCAGTTGGTGGTCCATGGGAACCTGCTGATGGGGGTGATCCATCTATTGATGACAACTCTTTGATCAAAAGTGCCCTCAGGTTTATGTATATGTTATGATTATTAGTGTTACATGTTATGTTTTCCACTGATTGACTACTGACATGTTCCCTTTGTTACAGACATTCCAAGGATGTTATTCAAGTTGATTTGCAGAATTGTCAACACTGGAATCGTTTTCTCGAGGTACCAGTTTACCTTTTTTTACTACTTAATATTTCAGCTAACTTAATTGTTTTACCGGTTTCTTTTTGTTTAAACAACGCTGGGAATTATTTTTGAACTGTCATCTGAAGTGTTCATTTTACGCATATGCATGCTTCTTTATAATTACATGAAGATAAGTCACATTTACTTTTATAGTTTGTTTTTATCATATCTTTATGTCTGAAGAGTAATGTGCTATTGACATTCTTTTGGTTTAATGTGCTTTCTAATTCTCAGCTTTAATGCTTCTTTCTTTTTAATAATATATCCTTTATCTAAGATTATGGTTATATCTTTTTGTTGCTTTTAGAATATCTCATTTAGCCACAAGGAAATCACTGTTCTTTATGCTTTCTAATGTATTTGCTTTTAGAATATTCTAGTTATTAAAAGCTGCGTAAGTTTTTCAGATACATTATGATAGAGTTGGCAAAGATGGTTTCTTTAGCCACAAGGAAATCACTGTTCTTTACGTTCCCAATTTGTCTGACTGCCTCCCTTCATTGGATGAATGGCGTGATCAATGGCTTGCCCACAAGAAAGCTGTTGCTGAAAGAGAACATCAATTTTCTTTGAAAAAAGAGGTCTGTTTTTATTGGTTGAGGTTGCTATGTTTATGATTTTTTTAGTTGGATTGAATTTAAATAAGGCATATTGTTTGCCATATTTTCTTTATTAATTATTTTTTATTTTTTTTGGTAATGTTTCAGAAATCTAAAGATAACAAGGAAGTACCCAAAGGTGAATGGACTGCTCCCTTCACTGTCCTGCATGTAGCATCGTATTTTTGCTTCTCACCCCAATTATATGCATATATGGTTTTGATTAATTTTCTTTTTCAATTATAATTTAGATAAATCAGATAAGAAGAAGGATTCTGTTGCTTCTGGACAATCAGATGTTAAGAAAAAGGAGAAAGATAGTAATACTGTTAAGGAAGAAACTGAAGAAAAAACTGGAGCGATCAACAATAAAATTGCTAAAAATGATGGCTTTGGCATTGGTGAAGATGGAAAGAATGCGGAGCAAAAGCAAGGGGAAACTGCCCCTGTGAAGTCTGTCAAAAAGAAGATTATAAAGAAGGTTGTGAAACCGAAAGTTGCTATTAGGGCAAATGATACTGCCAACAAACAAACGGAAAAATCAGGCGAGAAGGATGTTGCAGAGAAAATGGCAACATCAAATGTTCCTGATCAGGAAGACAAATCTTCTGTGGATCCTAGTGAGGTTCAAACTTCTGTAAAAAACTTGGTTGTAGAGGATGTTTCTATTGGGAAAACTGATGGGGAAAATGGGAAAGATAAAGAAATAAATAGTTCTGAAAATAAACCTCAAGACAAGCCAGATGCAATGGTGAATGCAGTTGCGAGTGATGCTACTGTGAAAACAATTAAAAAGAGGAAAGTTATCAAGCGGGTACCTAAGAAGAAGGTGGTTGGTGAGGCATCTAAATCTGTAATTTCTGACCCTAAAATTGGTGAAAGGAATGTCATTGCAGTTGAAGCACAAGATTGCACCCAGAGCACTGGCAAGCAGGCTGCTGATGTAGATACGGTAGTGACCGAGGTGAAGAAACCTGGGAAGGTAGTGCCAAAGAGAAAGTTAAAAACACCTACATCTGGGAAGCAACATGATGCGGCTGATTCCAATAAAACTGAAACAAAATCTGACAAAATGGTTGAAGGGAATGTTGTGGCAGTTCATGCACAAGATGATACACACAGCACTGATTTGCAGACTGCTAATGTGGATACCATAGTGATGTCAGAGGTGAAGAAAACTGGGAAGGTAGTTCCTAAAAAGAAATCAAAGGCACCTACCTCTGAGAAGCAAGGCAATGAAGCTGATTCTCTTAAAACAGAAACAAAGTCTGACAAGGATGAAAAAGGAACTGGTGAAAAAAGTGGATCCAAGACAGACAAGCAGAAAGCCTCTGACAAAGACATCCGCAATGTCAAGGGGAAGCTCAAAGATGGGGATAAGTCAAAAGATGAGAAAGTAAGAAAAGAGAGAGATGGAAAAGATGAGCCTAAAAGAAAATCTAGTAAAGAAGTGAAAGAGAAGAGAAAGTCTGATGAACCTCCTCGACACCCGGGTTTTATTCTTCAAACGAAATGGACTAGGGATTCTAAAGTATGGTAACTAAAGTATACTCAATTTGCTACATTTACTACCTTAATTACATTCATTCTAATTTGTCATTTTTGGTACAGCTACGTTCGTTGTCACTGTCGTTGGATTCATTGTTGGATTATACTGACAAAGATGTTGAAGAATCGACACTTGAGGTCTGTTTATATGATTTTATTTACCTTTCATTGCAACAGTTTTTTGTGTCAATTACACAAGGGACTGTTTCTGATTCCAAATGGACGTTTGTTGTTTCTGGTTTGTTGGTTTTGCAGCTTTCACTGTTTGCTGAATCTTTCTATGAAATGCTTCAGTTTCAAATGGGTTGTAGAATTTTGACCTTTCTTCAGGTTTGTTAAGGATCTGTTTGTCAGTTTGTGTCTGATTTGATTCTTCAAAGGCAGCCTAACTACAAGTTGTTTTTATTTTTTGCCCAGAATCTGCGCATAAAATTTGTGGTCAAAAGAACTCAGCGAAAGAGGCAGCGGGAAGACGGGCATGAGAAGGATAATGTAAACAAATTGCCTATAAAGCGTCCAAAGGGAGATGATTCTTCTGTGAAGAGGGAGTCCACAGATATGGACACATCAAATCCAACCCAAGCAGATGATGAAAAAACTGTTGCTGAGAAAGATAACTCTTGTGATAAGGAGGATGATGTGAAGATGGAAGATGGAACAGATGAGGAAGAAGATCCAGAGGAGGATCCTGAAGAATATGAGGAAATGGGAAATGATAGTCCCCAACATGACTCATCCAATGGTAAAAATGCTGAGCAAGAGGCCAATGCAAATAATGAATCTGAAAATATTACTAGCAATGAAAAAGCAGAGGATGGAACTTCTAAAGGGGAGATGAAGGTTAAAGAGGAGGTCAAAGAATCCAAGGCTGATGCTCTTATCGATGAAGTAAAGGAAGGAAAAGTTGATAGAAGTAAGAAAGAAACCCATGCTGTCAAGGAGGTTACCGTGGACAGAGAATTATTGCAGGTACTTGTATACTTTGTAACGCATGTTTATATTGCTGCTATTTGATCATCAACATCATCTGTCTACATTTCTTTCTCAATGAAATAATGCTATGATTTCTTATCTTTGACAGGCTTTCCGATTTTTTGACCGGAATCGTGTTGGGTATATCAGGGTAAGCACCTTGGTCTTTCACCTAACTTTTTTTATATGATATCCTCAGGAATGGTGAAAAATATTTGTTTCTTTCCAGGTTGAAGATATGAGATTAATTATCCACAGTTTGGGGATGTTCCTTTCTCACAGAGATGTCAAGGTGAGAAAAGCTCTGAAGTTTGTTTATGTTATTGCCTGCACATTTATTTTTGTTTTTTAGCATATTAATCGCCTACCGGATTCTATCTTGGTTTTATCTATGAACCGCATTCTAATATTCTCTATAAAAAGCAGGAACTTGTACAAAGTGCATTGTTGGAGAGCAACACCGGGAGGGACGATCGAATACTTTATAATAAGCTGGTGCGAATGAACGAAATATGATGCTTCCTAGTTTCTATTTTTGTGGTGTATGAAACACTTGAGTTCCATGTCTAGCTGAATGAAGTTGCTTTTTTAATTTGAATCGGACAGGTGTTGTTTCTCTTTTGTTAGTTTTGTTTTGTTTGATTGTTGAAAGGGCAGGTGGTCTTTCGTTTGTTGTAGTAAGGGTGGGGAGAACTTTTCTTGGTTTTTATTTACGATATTGATAAAGAACCAAATTACGCTGGAACATTTTTTCCTATGCAGTGTGTGCAATGAGAAAGTCATGCTTTTCTAATATGTATGTAGACCAAGTTACCTGATCGTGTTTTTAGTTGATGGCTTAAATGAGTTTTCAACTTTTTGTTTGTTTGTCCAAATATACGAATGTTCATATTTCTTCCTATATTTATATCACTTCGGAAAAAATAGAGAGAAGAGAGCTGAGCTGAGGTTGGGTCTGAATAAAATAGGTGAGGAATAAAATAATGCATAACTTTAAATGTTTAAAAAAGTCGATTAAGTGATTCGGTTGGGGTTTTAACTATTAGATTAAAAAATTGTAAAAAATGACTTAATTATCTAAATCAATCCGAAGCAATTTAATTAATTTTTGTTCACGTAGTTAACTCAATAAATACTCCCAGGGAGATGGTTGCTCTTTTTTCTGAGATGGATGTGCTTTTATATAATAAAAATAGGAACAACAAAACTTATACAGTGCAAGAACGTCTAGGTTTATACACTTGATTGTTCTTAGTAGTCTCCAATTAAATTTACAATTAGTATGTTACCATAATAAAAATAATTTTTTTTGCAATTAGTAATTTAGTAGTATTCATTTTCGTTCACGGAGATGTACTTCTCGATGTATTTTGTAATAAAATACTTTGTTGGATTAGTTTTTTGGGAGGGGATATTCTTATTACCAAAAAATTTCACTACCAACCTACTATCTATTTAATCATCATTGGATCAACATTTTCTCTCTTTTCGGAAATTTTTTAGCATTTTTTTTTCTGATTCAATGGTGATTAGATAGATAGTGGGTTGATAATAAATTTTTCCGGTAGTAAGAATATTCTCCTCTAGTTTATGCACTTATCACAAAAACCTACTTTGACGCGTTTGAAGTTATTCTCACAATTATGATTTTACACTATGGTGTCCCGATTCCTATGGTACTGTAAGGTGGATGAAAAACCAGAATCTTGAAGGAAAAAAGAGTGTTAGGTGGTGTACGTATGAGTTGGATTCCTATGGTACTTTTTTTGTTTTTATAATAATTCCTATGGTACTTTAAGGTGGATGAAAAACCAGAATCTTGAAGGAAAAAAGAGTGTTAGGTGTACGCATGAGTTAGGATACGTTATGGCTTGTCCGGAGCTCATGCTTTGATCTGTTCGTTTAACATGAAAAAAATGTTAGGTTTAAATTTTTATAAATTTTTATTTAATTAACTAATTTTAAAAAAAGAAAACAATTTAGTGGAAAATGCGTGGAGTTATGATCGTTAATTAGAAAATTATTGGTAGAGATTGTAATAAAATATATACACATGTATAACAAACTATAAAATTGTTAAAATCTACTCTCCTAGCTTTTTAATGAATGGTGATAATTACGATAGGTATGGCTTGGTTCATTATAAAGAATCAAACCCAGCCAAATTAAACTAGCAATTATATCGTTTGATTTATTCTCCCCGAATTGGTCTTATTTTTTTTAATAGATATCAATTGGTATCCGAAGTCATAATAAGGCTAATCGGATTTTGAGTTTAAACCTTTTCTAATTATCTCATAATTACAACTATTAGGAATCGACATTATTTTTAATAAGCGGTATTATGAACACCGATTTTTAAATGATTTTATTCTCATGCTCTCTCATTTCGTAAGCTTACAAAATTTTTAAAAATAATTTTTTTAAAATAATTCAAAACTAATTATAAATATATCTTTTTTTAAGACTAAAATAAATTTTTATATTGAATTAAAATTTTCGTACGTGAAAACTTATCCAATCCATCGTCTGTCACGTGAAACATATTTTCACAAAGAAAGAGATATTCTGCAATCCCAAAGTTAATCGTACGATGTCCAATCCCACGGCTCAAATTTTTTGTATTGAATTTATTAATGAAATAAATTATTATAACTGTCACGTTGGCAATTAAATTTCATCAGTTAATGCAGTAGACGATCAGAGTCCTGTTCAGAATAATGAATGATATAGGAGCAATGCATTTTTTGGAATATTTCCTTAGGGGGAGCATCAAGTATAACTTGCTAAAGCATGCATACAGGTACAATACATGTCTCCTTAATTTTGTATATATTGGTCCAACGGCACCAACCCACATACACATTACATAAGCAATGAAAATTTAAGAAGCAATGAAAACTCAAGCCACATACACATACACATACACATTATACTGGAGTACTTGGAACCTGTATTGGTGAAGAACAATATGACCCTTGCCCTTTGGGGTCATGTTCCTAGATTATTTCACTTGGGGTAGTGGTGTGGGTCCGAAAATGAGGGACAAAGAAGAGTTTACTATTGATGTTGTGATTGGCATTATTTCACATGATATAACTACGTTAAATGAGATACGATAAATTCCATTTTCATTTTATATAGTGACACTATATGAACTACAATTCAAATAAGTAAAATAAATAAATATAATTACTGATACTTTAGTTATAAGGATCAAACCCAAATAAGTGAAATTTAAGAACAAATACTGAAAGAAAAACAAATGTGTAAAATGTAGTAGGTAATAATTTTTTTTTTAAAATCAAAGTATTATTTCTAATTCTAATAGAATAGTACAAAAGCAAACCTAATAAAATGCTTAACTGAAAATCACATGCTTATTAACACGTATATTATATTTCAAGCCAAAAGATGTTTATCAAATAAACCGCTTGGGAGTTTTTCTTCCGAATTGATGGTAGTGATAAATTTAAAATTTCTTTTTTTTTTAGAATATAAATTTAAAATTTCTGAATTACATTTATGATTGCAAAATACCTAAAAAAAAATTGAATTAAAAGTGTAGATGTGTATTAGAGTATATATAAGTATATAAACTTCAGCTTGGTTGTTTTATCTTTGTCCGATGTACTTAGTCTATTATATATTTTTGGTAGTATAGTATCTTATATGCCTTTTATGTTTTGCTATTTGTTATTCTGTTAAATGGTTTAGTTAGAGCTGTGTAGGCCTCTATGTGGGCCTTTCGCTCTTATATAGAGCTCCCTTCTACCTTTTCACTCTACATATTAATAATATCAAATTAGAATGACTTTCTCTCTCAAACTCTGATATGGTATCAGCGCTTTCTTTCTGAGGGCTTGATGCAATTTTCTTCCATCAATGGCTTCCTCAAACCAATTCCTCATATGCAAATCACAACAACAACAATTAGAGTTGTGAAAATCGAAGTGTTCGAAGTGGAATCATGGAAAACAAAGCTCCTGTTAAGAGACTAGCCCTAACAGAGAAGCAAAAAACAGAGAAGAACGAAAGAAGACAAAAAAAGAACGATTTCTGATTAATTTCTTGAATGAATTCCCATCGGTTACAGCTATGCTTTTAATACCTTGACCCCAAACTACCAAATGGTTTCTTGCCTAATACAATGACACGTTAGAGGCTAACAATTGCCACTTCAATTATCAAAATATAAGCTACTCCTAATGCTCCTAATGTGACTGCTATATTGAAATACAACTATATAATTATTGACATGCAATTGTAACACGAAATATTAAACTGTTACCTTTACTGCTACCCAAGATGTGCCTTTAATTCTCCTCTTATATTGATATCATAACAGCTCCTCTTCAACTATCAAATCTCAGTCAAACTCACTGAAGACAACTACTTATTTTGGAATCAAATCGTTGAACCTATCATCATGTCGCATCAGCTTCACAAATTTTTTGTAAATCCAAAAGTTCCGGTAGAGTTCTTGTCTGATGAGGATCACGAAAGTGAATCTGTGAACCCTGCGTTTCAGGAGTGGCTTATACAAGACCAAATGTTATTGATGTGGTTGCTCTCTACTATTTCAGAGTCTGTAGTGAATGAAATCCTACGCATTAAACACTCACATGAGGCTTGGAATCAAATACACAAAATGTTTCATTGAAAGATGAAATCAAAGGCAAGACCGATATGAGCTTCGTTTGACAAAGAAAGGTGCAAAATATGTTTATAAATATCTCTCTCGTATCAAATCGATGTGTAATTCGTTAAAAGCGATTCAAAATCCTATTTATGAAGAGGATCATATTGAGTATATCCTCGAAGGCTTGCCTTCAGAGTATAACTTGTTCGTTTTGAACATGCAAAGTCGCGAAAAGACTTGCTTTCTTGCTGACCTTGCTGTGGATCTGATGGCCTTCAAACAACTACTGTTAAAGTAAAGTGAGAGTCTATTGACTGATCCTGTCTCTAAAAATCTTGCTCAAACTCATAAATGTGTTGAACCAGATACCCTGTTCGCCTCTGTTCCTTCGAATTAAAAGCAGAGTATGAACCAAATGAACAAGGCCTCAAATTCTGTCGTTCTAAGTCACTCCACTAGTTTAAACAAAGGTCGTGGAAGATATGTAGGAAGTTCAAATAGAGGCAGAGGTCGTGGAGCTCGTACGAATGTATATTGTCAATTGTTCTACACATATGGACATGATGTTCATTCTTGTTGGTACATGTTTGATGAGAACTTCGTTGCCACACTGCCTCCTTCTATTGAAAACACATATTCTCAGTTTTTTGACACTTTTCAACAACAACGACAATATGTTCAACAACAAAGTCAATATCAGCCACAATAGAATCAATTTCGAGTCTTACCAATATATTCGTCAACCAGTGAAGGCATATATTCCTTAAGTGACAGTTGCTGCACAATGACCTCCTCTTCCCACTTCTTCACAGCAACCAATTTTGGAATGGTATCCAGACTCTGGAGCTAGTCATCACGTTACAACAAATCCAATGAACCTAATGCAAAGTCAACAGTTATCTAGTGTTGACCAAGTCCTCATTGGAAATGGTAAAAGTTTGCTTATTCGTGCCATTGGTTGTTCAAACTTTCTGTCACCTATATACACTAAAACTAAATTATCTCTTAAAAATCTTCTTCATGTTCTTTCAATTATGAAAAATTTACTAAGTGTCAGTGCCTTTGCTGGAGATAATAATGTGTTTTTTGAGTTTCACCCTACTAAATGTTTTGTCAAATCGCAGGTGTGTCATAAAAC